GCCCAAATAATTCTTTATCAAGAAAGCTTTGAAGTACCTGTTTGATTCATTAATAAAAGACTTTGTTGTATTTTTCAAGCCATATCAAGACTCTTTTGTAGTGGAAACCTGAGAACTTCTTCTTAGGCCCCTGGCTTCCCGCTGGTCAAATGTTACACATTCTATATTTAAAGCCAACCAAATACAGGCCCAGCGGCGACAGAACAGGCACCCCCTCGTGACCCCCCCCCCCAGGGTCCTGACCCCCAGGTTGAGAAACATTGCTGTACAGGAATATTTTTTTAATTTAAGAAGTGATACTTTTCCCCTCTGAAACATTGCACAACAGTTTTATAGATGCCCGGTGGTGCCACTGGACGAACAGAGAGACAGATAAGTAAACACGATCTCCTCTTGACACCCCAGGAATTTGGATCTTAACAAAATAAGAGTTCTCAAAGACTTCGTTTTCAAACCTGTGTGTAATTCCAGCCTTTATTTCATACCATTGTTAAGCTTGTTTATAACATATATCATATATATATAAATTTGTATAAAGTAGGATAAAGGGAGGGGAAAGCATCAGATATATTTTTATAAATATTTCTGTATGTTCCGCATACAAAATAAAAATATGTACATCCATAACGGATAGTGGTTATGCACTGGAAACCCGGTCAGACTGTGTGTCTCATTCCAATACTTTGGTGAGGTCGGCTTCAAATAGGCACTGCTCTGTCTTCTCAGGAATGTGGAGATGCACCTTGGTGGGTTCGGAGGGTTTGGGTAGGTTGTTTGCAGCTACACACACAAATCGGCATTCATCGGGTGGGAGAATTGCTTCCCTTCAATTTGTCTGGGGCCACATTCCAGTGGCGCTGGGGATCAAAGCTAAAAGGATAGATGGTAAAGAATTTGCATTTCTTGGAATCCTTGGGAGGGATGGTCTGTCTTTTTAGGAAAGTGGGAGGAAATCTGCAAAATGATACTGCTTTGGGAAAGGGGGCTAGACCAGCGGTTCTCAACCTCCCCAATGCAGCAACCCCTTAATGCAGTGGTTCTCAACCTGTGGGTCCTCAGATGTTTTGGCCTTCAACTCCCAGAACTCATAACAGCTGGTAAACTGGTTGGAATTTCTGGGAGTTGTAGGGTAAAATACCTGGGGACCCACAGGTTGAGAACCACTGCCTTAATGGGAAGGTTGTTGTGGTGACCCCCAATCTTAAAATTATTTTCGTTGCTACTTCATAACTGTCATTTTGCTTCTGTTATGAATTGTAATGTCAATATCTGATATGCAGGATGTATTTTCATTCACTGGACCAAATTTGGCACAAATACCCAATTCACCCTAATTTGAATACTGGTGGTTATTTAGGAGTTATAGTTGCTGGGATTTATAGTTCACCTACATTCAAAGAGCATTCTGGACTCCATCAATGTGGAAATTGAACCAAACTTGGCACACAAGAACTCCCATGACCAACAGAAAATACTGGAAGGGTTTGGTGGGCTTGGGTTTTGGAGTTGTAGTTCACCTACATCTAGAGAGCACTGTGGACTCAAACAATGATGGATCTGGACCAAACTTGACACAAATATTCAATATGCCCAAATATGAACACTGGTAGAGTTTGGGGAAAATAGAGCTTGACATTTGGGAGTTGTAGTTGCTGGGATTTATAGTTCACCTACAATCAAAGAGCATTCTGAATTCCACCAATGATAGATTTGGGCCAACCTTCTCACACAGAACCTCAATGACCAACAGAAAATACTGGAGGGGATTTGGGATGAATTGACCATGATTTAGGGGAGATGTAGTTCACCTACATGCAGAGAGCACTGTGAACTCAAACAATGATAGATCTGGACCAAACTTGATACAAATATTCAATATGCCCAAATATGAACACTGGTAGTTTGGGGGAAATAGAGCTTAACATTTGGGAGTTGTGGTTGCTAGGATTTATAGTTCATTTACAATCAAAGAGCATTCTGAACCCCACCAATGATAGATTTGGGCGAACCTTCTCACACAGAACCCCCATGACCAACAGAAAATACTGGAGGGATTTGGGATGAAGTGACCATGATTTAGGGGAGATGTAGTTCATCTACATGCAGAGAGCACTGTGGACTCAAACAATGATAGATCTGGACCAAACTTGACATAATACTCAATATGCCCAAATGTGAACACTGGTAGATTTTGGGGAAAATAGAGCTTGACATTTGGGAGTTTTAGTTGCTGGGATTTATAGTTCACATACAATCAAATAGCATTCTGAACTCCATCAATGATAGATTTGGGCCAACCTTCCCACACAGAACAGAAAATACTGGAGGGTCTTGGGATGAATTGACAGTGATTTAGGGGAGATGTAGTTCACCTACAGCTGGAGAGCACTGTGAACCCAAATGACTATGCCAAAGAGGTTCCTAAGAACATCAGAAATATGTATTTTCTCATCGTCTTTGGGGACCCCTCTGAAACCTCCTCGCAACCCCCCAAGGGGTCCCAACCCCAGGTTGAGAAACACTAGGCTAGACCATAGATGGAATTCCTGAGATCTAGATGGCACATCCAGAAAGGCAAGTTCAGACCCAGTTCTGCTCTGGATTGCCTTTACCAGCCTATGTAGACTTGCCCAAACAACAAAAGTCTAGCAAATAATTCTTGGTGCCAAATTACAAAAGAAAAAAACCATCTGCAAAGTTACACACAGAGAATAATACCAGGACACCACTGTTTGTCTGCTCACTATTGTGCAACTCCAGAAAAAGTGCAGCCATTTGGGTACCAATAGGGTTCCAGACTCTTCCTAACTAAAGGCAAATCACCAACGGTTTGATCTCTTGAGTAATTAATCCTAACCTTTTCAACTGCCAAGGCCAAAGCAAAGGAAACGAAGAGGTAAGGGTTACTGGGATTGCAACAGCAGAACTGGGATGTGGGATTTAGTCCATCACACACATGCATTGTTGACAGTGTTTCAAAGGAATCATCTGATCAAATGGGTTGTTCACAAGGCCACAAAAACCCAGTCTGAGAGAGCTGGAAGCCTAACACAGTTTTGCAAGGGGTGGAAAAAGCTATGGTAACTTTATTTATTTGGAGCACAGAGCTTGGAAAAGTTACTTTAGGGAACTACACAATGCTCAGAACATCTCAGTTTGACACCACTTTAAGCACCATGGATAATGTTGCAGAATCGTGGAGTTGTAGATTTACAAAGTCATAGAATAATAGAACCAAAGAGTTGGGAGTGACAATGTCCATCCAGGCCAACCTCATTCTGTCACGCATGAAAATACAATCAAAGCACTCTTGACACATGACCATCCAGGGTCTGTTTAAAAACCTCCAAAAAGAAAGAGACTTCACTGGAGTCCAGAGATTTAACCTTCTCTAACTAAGACTGTCAAACTACAACTCACAGATTTCTGGGTTGTTGTAGGTTTTTTCAGGCTATATGGCCAAGTTCTAGAGCAGTGGTTCTCAACCTGGGGTCCCCAGATGTTTTTGGCCTACAACTCCCAGAAATCCCAGCCAGTTTACCAGCTATTAGGATTTATGGGAGTTGAAGGCCAAAAACATCTGGGGACTCCAGGTTGAGAACCACTGTTCTAGAGGCCCTCTCACCTGATGTTTTGCCTGCATCTACGGCAAGCATCCTCTGAGGTTGTGAGGTCTATACAGATTTCTATACCAGTGAGCTGGCATCTGTGGTTTCATTTATCCACATTCAACAAAATATGTTCTCTATAGGCATTTTCTACAGCTCAAATCTATGGCATTCTTGGGTCATAGGTCCTTCATTTCAATAGAGTTCACTATTATCCACAGTGTCCTTTATCCACGCAGAGTCCCCCATAGGTCATAGCATGTATGCATCTTACCAAGACTTACAGTGTATTCTAATTTGTATTTTGTGGATGTGGCTAACACTATTTCCCCATTTGCTGCTTTGGGAGGTGCACACCAGCAAAGTAACTTTTCCAAGCTCCTTCATTTAAAGAGTATGTTACGTCATGGAAGCAAGGCAGGGAGGACGCAATGAGTTAAATGCATTGCTAAAGAGATGCTAGACAATTTCTCCTCCCATAAGAATTTTGTCCCAGTCATCCATAAAATTTAAATTCAACCACCCAATTCTCAAGCAGTGTAGCATTTTAAAACTGCAGGTATTGGGCTCGTTCATGGATTCAGAGTGGTCTTTTGGCCAATCTGGCTTGTTTGGCTTGGCGGGATGGCCGTAATGGTAAGGGCTCAGCCATCATGTTTTATCGTCCATTATGGGGCCACATGGCAACCGATCGTGGCTTCTACTCCCCTTGTTTGGCTTGGCGGGATGGCCGTAATGGTAAGGGCTCAGCCATCATGTTTTTTTGTCCATTATGGCCATTATGGCCATCTCCTCCCCTATTCAGCACTATGCGGCAAGGAGAGGCTGACACATGCTGCTCACACAGGGTTTCTGTCATGTATCATGTTCTACAGTTGATGGTGCTTGGTAGTGGTAGGCCTAACAGTTCGTGATGGAAAGGTTAATGTAAATCTTAGTTCTAAAGGGTTGAGTAATCTGTAAGTAAGAGTTCATGGGTGAAAGCAATTAAGGGTGGAGGTATGCAAGAGATAGGTTGCAGCTGGGTGTTTCTGGATATAAGGAGCTAGCCTTGGGACTGATCTTTGGGAGAAAAGTATTTGTCTTATTTTGGTGGTAGATGCTGCTGGTTTCCCCCCAGGTTTGTGGATTTTCGGTATCCTGACCTGTCTCCTGTACTCTTGGAACCCTGGAATCTTTGGACTGGCTTTTGACTACGGTATAGACCAGGGGTCCTTAAACTAAGGCCCGGGGGGCGGATATGGCCCTCCAAGGTCATTTACCCAGCCCTTGCTCAGGGTCAGCCTAAGACTGAAATGACTTGAAAGCACACAACAACAACAACAATAACAACAACAATCCTATCTCATCAGCCAAAAGCAGGCCCACACTTCCCATTGAAAAACTAGTAAGTTTATATTTGTTAAAATTGTTCTTCATTTTAATTATTGTATTGTTTTTAAGTGTGTTTTTGCACTACAAATAAGATATGTGGTGTGCATAGGAATTCATTCATGTTTTTTTAAAATTATAATCTGGCTCTCCAACAGTTTGAGGGACTGTGACCTGCTCTCTGTTTAAAAAGTTTGAGGACCCCTGGTATAGATTCTTGATCCCTGGACTTTGCTTATTGAATTCTCAGCGTTTGACCACTGGACTGGACCTTTTGACTATGGTGTTATCTTGAACCTGCAACGGTGTTTGCTGTCAGTTTTTGTTTTATATTCTGTGGCTGAATGCTATCTTTATGGTTTGGACTATTAAAACAGCCAGAAAGTAAGTGCTGTTTTAATTAAATTGTTTAAAACAAAGTGGGTGTTTGTTTGGTTCATCTCTGCCTGAATAAGGCAGAGCCCTGGCATTGTGACAGTTTCCCTGTGAGCCCTGCCTATTGGATCAATTAGAATAGAAGAATGCCGTGACGTGTCTTATGTAAGCTGTGTCTAAGGAAAGGGTCCCAGGAAGGATGCTTCCTTAACCATGTTCTTCAAACCCAGACTCCTTGAAAGGAAGATAGGAAAGGATCTTAGGAACGGAAAGGGGAACCTTGAAAGGTCTCAATTTCTGCCATTGGGCCCGATCTTTTGGCTGCAGACTGGAAATGGCTATTTGGCAACCTGATGGTTTTCAGGAGGCATACGAAAACAGATCCGTAGGTCTCCCGGAATTCGGCCAGCAGAAATGGATCAAGGTTCAGCCAAAATGCCCAAGTCTAGAAGGTATGCTTTCAGAAATACAGCTTAGACATGCCAAGCAAAAGTGAACACAGCAAAAATGAGAACTTGTTGGGACCAATTTTCAGTGTCTAATTCCCTCCAATGCTAGGAATTTGGGGACTGAAAGCAAATGCAATTTGGGGACAGAATTCTTATTTGGCATGCAGTGCTAAAAACTGTATCATTCCCTTTATCAAGGACCAAATCTCATTCTTTCTGGGATATTGCATCCAACAAGATTACAGAGAAAAAAAGTTTTTTCCCTTATGACTTTCATGTTGTTTTTATCCTACCCTTCCAAAAGTCCCCTGTTTGCCATCTCCACACTCAGTAGCTGAATATCATAGAAAGCAAATGTGAGGTGGCCATTGTAAGAACGGAGTCCGATCTTTGCATTTGTCCTTGCAGTGAAGGTTTCCATTTGTTTTGCAATGGATGTCTTCTTCGGGAAGGAATGGCATTGCTTTCTCCAAGGTTCGTGAGAGAGCCTGCCTGATGTGCCCCAAAAATAATACCACCATTCGAAAGCCACAGTAGCTTTTCACCAAATATCTTAATTTCCCCACTCATTCATGGGGTAGATGTAGTCTTTAGTGTGGGAAAGCTGCTGTCCTTTGTCCGAAAAGCACTTGGAGAAAGGTGGGCATGGGCTTCCTTGTCCCTGAGCCCGCTGATGGCAAGGGCTCCAATGTGTGGACCTCATTTGCAGACATATCTCTCGACAGTCCTCTCGCACTTTTTGCAAGTGACGTAGCAGCACCAGTGGTACTTGCAGTGGCAGCGCTCCACCACTTTGTCCATGTAGGGGTTGTAGCCACGGCCGCAGCACATGAGGTCACAGCTATCGCTCCCATTGGAGGTTTTGTTGCATTGCCTGCAAGAAAGAAAATGATGAGGTGAGAGGAACATCAAGAAGCACAGGGTTGGCTTCCATCTTTGCATTTAAGTATCTGCTGGGAGCAAGCAAAAGTAAAACTTAAGGAGGAAAGGACTCAAGGAAATCAGAAAATTTGAAAAGGCTCTAGTTAAATTGTTTGTAGTGAAATTGCTCCTCTAAAATTTTGGTGTGAAATTGCTACTCTAAAATTTTGGTGTATAGCTCTATGTTTACATATGGCAGATAGGGAAGAATAGGCACAGACAGGGTAGCAACAGCAGAGATAGGATTCATTTGACTATGTGAAGCCGATTGGTCATATGCAGATTAGTGTAGGCCCAGGATTTGAAAAGGCTGCTAGGCCAAAATGACAGTTGGGGAGAGCAGAGCTGAACATTCCAAAGGGGCGGAGCCAAGGTTCTGAAAGAGGCAGTTAGAGTGAGGGAGTTTGAAAACGACAGTTAGGAATCTGTGTGTGAAGAGGAGAGTTGGTTTTTGAGTACCTGATAGAAATAAGCAGTTATGAAGATGTGTTAAAGACTTCTGATATAGAGAAGCAGTTAGTTAAATAGAGCTCGAGTTTTAAGGAACATAAAGAAGGCTAGTGTTGCCTTAGTTCAGAATATAATTCAGCCAAGAGTGTGTAAAGCAAGTAACATGTTTGTGAATGTGAAACATTGATAGTTTATTCAGGAAAGTTAACCAAGTAAATGATACTGACTGTAAGCCTCAAGATTGCAACAAAACACAAATGTAACCACAAGCGTTGGAGCCAGAATTTATAAATAAACTGTGTTACTTCGTTATACACAAGAGTGTTTCATTGCCTGCGATATAAAGTACAAAGGTTTAACAGCACACAGAAAGTCCCAGCCAATATAAAAGAAAAAACTGAATCAGTATAAGGCAGCAAAGAGATTTTTTTTAAAAGAGGAAATAATCTCTCTGCCTCGCCTCAGAGTTCTTGCTCTAAGGCCCCTTCTACAATGCCGTATAAAATCCAGGTTATCTGCTCTGAACTGGATTATATGGCTGTGTGGACTCTATATAATAAAAGTGAATGTTTGTATGTATGTTTGTATGTGGAGGTGTATGTGGCAGCTTTCTGATTGGCTCCCACTTACACAGGCCACTGCGACCTGCACGGATGACAGACCTGAACCAAACTTGGTACACATAACCCCCATGACCCTCTTTATGTCCTGGTGCGGTTTGAGGGAGTATGGATGATGGGATTTGGAGTACTTTCAAATGCTTCATCTCCCACAAATCACTGTGGCCCCTACCAATGACAGAACAGGACTAAACTTGGCACACAGACCCCCCCATAACCCACTTTACGTCCTGTTAAGGTTTGGGGGAGGATGGACCATGGATGATGGGACTTGCAGTACCTTCACTCACTTCCTGAGATGACTGTGACCCTCATCCAAAGACTGAGAAAGACCAAATTGGCACACAGAGCTCCCATGACCCACTCTACATCCTGGTGCAGTTTGGAGGAGGGTGGACCCTGGATGATTAGACTTGCAGTACCTTCACTCACTTTCTGAGACCACTGTGACCCTCATCCAATGACCGGGAAAGACCAAACTTGGCATACGAAGCCCCCATGACCCACTCTCCATCCTGGTGCAATTTGGAGGAAGGTGGACCATGGATGATGGGACTTGCAGTACCTTCACTCACTTCCTGAGACCACTGCGGCCCTCATCTAATGACTGAGAAAGACCAAACTTGGCACACAGAGCCCTCATGACCCACTCTACATCCTGGTGCAGTTTGGAGGAGGGTGGACAATGTATGATGAGACTTGCAGTACCTTCATTCACTTCCTGAGACCACTGCGACCCTCATCCAATGACCGAGAAAGACCAAACTTGGCACACAAAGCCCCCATGACCCACTCTCCATCCTGGCACAATTTAGAGGCGGTTGGACCATGGATGATGTGACGTGCAGTACCTTCATTCATTTCCTGAGACCACTGTGACCCTCATCCAATGACCGAGAAAGACCAAACTTGGCACACAGAGCCCCCATGACCCACTCTCCATCCTGGCGCAATTTAGAGGAGGGTAGACCATGGATGATGGGACTTGCAGTACCTTCACTCACTTCTTGAGACCACTGCAACCCACATTCAATGACCGAGAAAGACCAAACTTGGCATACGAAGCCCCCATGACCCACTCTACATCCTGGTGCAATTTGGAGGAGGGTGGACCATGTATGATGTGACTTGCAGTACATTCACTCACTTCCTGAGACCACTGCAACCTTCATCCAATGATCGAGAAAGACCAAACTTGGCACACAGAGCTTCCATGACCCACTCTACATCCTGGTGAAGTTTGGAGGAGGGTGGACCATGGATGATGGGACTTGCAGTACCTTCACTCACTTCTTGAGACCACTGCAACCCTCATCCAATGATCGAGAAAGACCAAACTTGGCACACAGAGCCCCTATGACCTCTCTACATCCTGGTGCAGTTTGGAGGAAAGTGGACCATGGATGATGAGACTTGCAGTACCTTCACTCACATCCTGAGACCACTGCGACCCACATCCAATGACCAGGAAGGACCAAACTTGGCACACAGAGCCCCCATGACCCATTCTATATCCTGCTGCTGTTTGGAGGAGGGTGGACCATGAATGATGGGACTTCAAGTACCTTCACTCACTTCCTGAAAACAATGCAGCAGTTATCCAATGACCAATAAAGACCAAACTTGGCATACAGAACCGCCATTACCCACTTTCCCTAATAACCCGGGCAGCGCTGGGTCCCCAAGCTAGTATAAGAATAAAAGCAATGTCAGATTCTCCTCTGATCAGCTTCTCTGTGGAATGATCCTCAACTTATCTACTGGTCACGTCAAAATTCATAATTTTGGCCCCCAAACCTGCCTACAACTCATACATGAGTTAGACTTATGTATGTAGGGTTAACTCTTGTATACCCAAGTGTATACAAATGTTACCAAGTAACCATTCTTATTTATTGCTACTTTGTATTTTATGTTCCTGTTCTGCTTGATTTAGATCCTCTCCCAGACCAATTAAACAAATCCCTTGAAGATTTGTGTGTCAGTCTAAAAGTTCGCCTTGCTAACACCAAATGCACCCATATCCCTCCTGCTCTTAGCCATAGCCGAAGTGAGGCACAGCATGGATGCTATTCCTTGCAGAAGTCTTCCACAGCGGCCAAAGGTTATAAATAGTGGACTTTGGGAAAGCTGCATCTATCTTGGACAAATAGCCTGTAGCTATTTCTTTCACTTACTTGGCCCGCTGTTATCCTGGACACGGTAATAATTTAACATCTGATGAAGCTGGCGAGGAGGAGACGGAGAGGGGAAAGTGCAGAGTGGAGGGAAAGGAGCCCGTCTCACGGACGGAAAGGAATCCAGAGAGATTTATATGAAATTCCTCATGAGGTAATGCTTTATGAGAAGTTATGGGATTAATGAAGTGCTGAGATCTTGTTCTCAGTCCGTCCTTTTATTTATTTCTGACTCACCCTGGCCTCCGGTTTGTTATTGCAGATTTGAGGTCCTATCCAGATTCACACACTCACCGAAAACCCAGCCTTCTTATGCCTTTAGTGCGATGCATATGCATGTACACATATCTTAAACCGATCTTTCTCATCCCCAACTTCGCCTTTTCGTGGGATGTATCCATGAGAGAGAGATGTGTAAATATTTACAGACTTTTGGAAGCCTTAGCGAGGCATTCTTTGCAAAACAGTGCTGCACCCAAGAGCCAAGACCTATGACTTGTGGACACATGCTGACTATTTGCCCAGTACTGGACTGACAGCATTGTTTTATATATAGCTATGTCTACACACACCTCTGCAAGCCAAGAGGATAGCATCCAGAAAAAAATGGGGCTAAGGAAGAAAAATCAACACTGAGACCTTCAACACAAATCAAGAGAGAACACAATTAAGAGCAAAGGTTTGGAAGCTTCGATGGGTACATGGGAAAAATTGATGGAGGCGTTCAGTTGTGGAGCACATGGTTTTGTGTGCAGATGGTCAGTGGCAGAGCTAATGAAGAATCCGGCCTGAAACTAAGGAATTGCTTCCAGACCGTGTTGACAATTTCCGCAAGATGCAATCGAAGTCCTGTTTAGTCTAACAGTCTGCTCACACGTTGGCCAACCCTCAAGGAAACTGAATGATGGTTGTTTTCAGAAGGAAAATTACACTACATAACTTGTTGACAATACAAGCAGAATCAATTACTTCATGTATGATTGTATAACCAGACATTGTACTACTGTAACTATTTTTCTGACATTGCGTAAGGAGGTACAGGTTGAGCATCCCTTATAAGAAATGTTTGCGACCAGAAGTATTTGGGCCTTTTTTTTGAGGATTTTGGAATATTTGATTTTGCATATATGTACATAATGAACGATATTAGAGATGACATCCAAGTCTAGAGAAGAAAAGGAGGAGAGGAGACATGATGATGGCCATGTATCAAGATGTCAGGAGAAGTCATAGGGAAGAGGGAGCAAGGTTGTTTTCTGCTGGAGACTAGGACGCAATGGAGCAATGGCTTCAAACTACCAGAAAGGAGATTCCATCTGAACATGAGGAAGAACTTCCTGACTGTGGGAGAGAACTGTTCAGCAGTGGAACTCTCTGTCCTGGACTGTGGGGGAGACTCCTTCTTTGGAGGCTTTTAAACAGAGGCTGGATGACCATCTGTTGGGGGTTCTTTGAACGCAATTTTCCTGCTTCTTAGCAGAAAGGGGTTGGACTGGATGGCCCTCTTCCAACTTTATGATCCTATGATTCTATTGGCCGAGTTCAGTGCTCTCTGGATGTGGGTGAACTACGTCTCCCAGATTCCAGGGTCAATCACCTCCAAACCCAACCAGTATTCAAAGTTGGCCATGTTGGGTCTGTGCTGGTACAGCTGTACCAGGAACTCCAACTTTATTTGCTTTGTATTAAATGTTTGTTTGCAGTCC